CCGTTGCCGAGATATAAGGGTTCAAAGTTTCCATAGCGCTTAACATAGGCGCAGATATTATGAATGAAACCATGACCTACCATTTTTTCCTAGAAATGCGTACTACGTCTTTCCAGGAATCGCGTCTGCCGCTTGTCTGGAATTTGGGATAGGTCGGTGAGACGAGCGCGAGAGAGAGATCCGAGTAAGTGACAAGGATGCAAACAATAAACGATCAAAAATTACCTTTTGCTTTACACGACGATATCTCGGGAACCGGAAGTCGTATCGGGATAAATGAAAGCGCGTTTTAAAGGGCAAGGTCTAGCGCTTCTAACCATTCTTCACTCGTTCACCGGAAGTCACTATCTTCGAAGTTATAACGGTTCAAAGTTTTCTTAATTTTAATAGAGTTTGATTAGGTTTAAGGTAAATGATTAAAAATTACTCTTTTCTTTAGACGATGATATCTCGGGAACCGGAAGTCGTATCGAGATAAATAAAAGCGCGTTTTAAAGGGCAAGATTTCACGCTTCTAATGGCCTTTGATCCATTAACCTGTGATCACTATCTTCGAAGTTACAGCGATATAAATATTTTACGCACAAGTAATCGAATCGTACGTGATATTCGAATCTCGAAAAACTCGAATGAAATGCGCAAGTACACGTTAAATACTATTCCGCGCTAATATCGAACGAAAACCTCCACAAAGGATACAGATGCGGCGGAGCCAACGATAAACTCGTGGGCAAGATAGAAGAGAGGCACGTAGGATACAATTAGAGCGGATAACAAAGGAAGTAAGATTAATGGGCGGGTAAAAGGGCGTGCAGGAGAGCAGGACACACGCGGCCGCGAGGAATAAAAAGAAAAGACGCGCGAGGAGGCGGAGGGCACGGAATGAGCCGATACAGAGAGGAAACTTTTCCGTGTGTGTGTGTGTGTGTGTGTGCGGGGCCCGATGTGTGCCTCCATTCCGCGGTGAGATGAAAGCAAACGGAAGGGCGTAAATGTAAATTGGTACATTCCTACGGCGTTCTTAATTAACTTCTTTGCAATTATCATGACGGGGTGTTCCGCGCCGCGTGAGCGTGTCTGCAGTCCGCTTCGTGCTTGTCTCTCGGCGTGGAATATGAGAGAGAAAGAGAGAGAGAGAGAGAGAGAGAGAGAAAGATGTAAAAAGAAAAAAAAGAAGGAAAAGTAGATTCTTCCTTGTTCGGGCGAGCCAGAGAATTCCCTCAAAGGCGTGCTTTTCTCTCTCACGAGCCACGAGCGCCCTTTACAGGGGGTGTTTAAAAACCGCGTGTACTTTGTACGCAAGAATTGCATTCATTCGGCACTTCTCAAACGCTACCTGACTACGGATACGTGGTGAAGTGGGAACCGGCCTCTTAATGCAATTTTGGAAAGCGTTTGTTGCCACGACTTTGAACGGTCTCACGCACGAGTGCGTAAGGCCCGTGCTCCACGCGTTTCCGCGTCTGCTCACCCTCGCGCCCCTGGAACAACTTGATTTTCTTGGCAGGCAAGCGGACAAAAGTAAACCGGCTATTTACAACTCGTGGAGAATATCGTACATTTTTGGGGAAACTTTTATTTTCATCTTAACTTAAGGTTTGAATTTCTTTTTTTTTTTTTTTTTTTTT